GCGGGGGTCTCGGGGCCTCTTCTTGTGGACCTCTCAGGTGCCTCCTGGGGCTTATTGGTCGCCTCTTGGGGGCCTGCTGGCGGTCTCGGGGGTTATCTTGGGGCGGAGGGCTCGAAATGTTAGCTTCAGTTCCTACTTTGGGGGCCCTCTTGGGCCCTCTTGAGGTCGTCTTGGGCCGTCTGGGGGCCCTCATGGAAGCCTCTTGGCCCCTCTTGGTGCGATCTTGGGGGCCTGTTCAGCTGTCTTGCAGCGTCCGTTGCCCGCAAAGCGAGGACACTAAAATCCTGCAAACGCCTCAGGTAAATCAATGGTTTGTTGTCTCTGTCTTGGGCCCCTTTTAGGGGGTCCGTTGGGCGTTTTGGGGCCCTCTTGGGCCATCTTGAGCGCGTTGTTGGGCCGTCTCGGGGACTTTCGAGGGGGCTCCCTCGACGCAGCAGCACGACTCGCAGCAGCAGGCACCGCCGCCAGCGGCCGGCACACTCCGCCGCCCCCGCTGCCGCGGGGCGCGGCACTTCGCGGCGCCGTCGAGGCAGCCCCCACCAGCAAACAGGCAGAAGTAGCAGAACTCTAGGTCCCCCCCCAAGGGCGCGAAGACCTCATCTAGGAGGCCTCTACTCCAGGAGGGGGAGGAGGAGGAAGGAAGAGGAGGAGGAGGAGAGGAGGAGGAGGAGGAGGAAGAGGAGGAGGAGGAGGAGGAGGATCTACTCGGACCCCCTCTAGGAGGCCTCTGCCGAACCGCCATCGGCCATCGTCCCAATACCGCCACCGCCTGGCTCCTTCTCGCCTTTTGTGGGCCTTCTGGGAGGCCCTCATCGCCACGGCTGGATGCGCCTCGAAATTCTAGTCAGAACGCACCCGGGGAGAGGTCTGGGGAGTAGCGGTATTGGTATCCCAGGTCACCCCAGGGGCAAGAAGATGATTGCGCTTCGCGCAGCGCGGCCTGGGCTGGAGAGGTGCCCTTCTCCGGGGCGGCGTAGCGAGGTCTCGAAGATGACCGCGCAGCGCGAGTCACTGGGCGCTAGGGCGCGAAGTTAGGTGGCCTGGGAAGTACAAAGGGAACTTACCATCAAGCTTCACCAAGCGACAGCAAGCGGACGAGCAAGCGATGAGGCAAGCAGCCGGGCAGAGCATGCCATCATCGACCAACACATCAGCGGCACCATCCCACCTACGGCCCTCCATGTTACGCTACGGCCCGTCGAGAGCCACAGCGCATGCAACGCAAAAATCCACGCCAGATCTCCTGCGTGGGGCCGTAGGTGGGGTGGTGTCGCTTGTTTTCTGGTCCGTATCAGGCACGCCCGTCAGCTTGCCTGCAGGAGCGTCGGAGGAATTCCGTCAGGTCAGCAGCGCAGCAGCCATGTGCGCAGGCAGCACGCTATCAGGCAAGTTGGCAAGCCGTCTTTAACTTTGCATGCGAGTAACGTAAGTCCACAGGTCAGCTCAGCTCTCGTCCTAGCCATATTGCAGGCATACGTGCGTGCGAAGAGGGCATGGGGATCAAAGGAATCCAGAATCGCTGCGGGGCGGCTCCTGAGCCCTCGCCGAGGCGCGGACGAGACTTGATACGAAGGTACCATGATAATCTGTCTCCGCGGCCTCCACGCTAGTCGAAGACGCCTCCGAGACGGCCAGCGAGCGTCGAAGACGCCCACGATCGCCTGAAGACCGCCCCAGAGGCCCCCAAGAATAATGCACATAGGAAGCACCCAGAACAGCCCAGGAGCACTAAGACGACCACCCGAGGAGGACGAAATCCATGATTGTGCTGGGGTGTTTCCAGATTTGGGGGCTCTCCACATTTCGCGTAAAGACAGCCCAAGACAGCTCCTGGATCCACCCGGGACGCCCCAGGATAGTCCAAAAGGCTTCAGTGAGAGCCTCGACATGGCCCGAGACGAGGGAAAGACCTCTTGCGGGGCGGCCTCTGAACCCTCGGGGAGACGAGAAAGATCGGAGGTTGGGTGGAGGGGAGACCGAGTTCGTGTCGTGCGTGCGGGCGAGGCGAAGCTGCGTGGGCGGGCGAGACGAATGACTCTGCTGTGGCTGGGCGGGTCCAGACAACAGGCCGCGGGGTGTCCCGCACTCGTGTCCAGCCGTGGTGTCCCGTCGGCGTCCCGTCGCCAGCTCGTGAGGGCATCACCAGCATCGCCACCATCACAGTCATCGCAGTTGTCTTCAGTCGGTGCTTCCCCCCGGCCTCCCTATCACTCGAATTGTGGTCGTACAGGTCTGAGGCGCAAGGGTGGCGTGTCTAATTACCTCCGGGGCGCTGCGGCCTTCGCACTCCTGCCACGGACCGCGCTGCGTTACCCGGCCCAGGGATCGGGTGAGGAGGCCTTGGCACCCCGGCCGCGGACACAAGTTACAGCCGGACAGAGGTATTGAGACCGAGGCCGGTTCGGGGAGGGCACCCGAATGTTCTTCGTGCTTGTTGGATGTTCCTGTGCATCCTGGGGGAGGGTACCCTCGAAGGTTCTCCAGTTTGGCCAGCAGAGGGCCTCATGTTCTCGAAGGACGCACTTCTATCCTGGGTCCGACCGTAACGTGCCGCCCCCGCGTTCGATCTCGTCTTCCTGGCAGCGGCGAGTGTGGACCCGGAACTCGGGCGCTCCCGCTGTCCAGCGAGATGTGGAGAGCCAGCATGGGGTCCAACATTCTCGAGTCCGCCTGGCGGCAACACCTACAGCCGAGACGCTGAACTAAGGAACAGTTTGGTCTTGGAAGGGGCTCGATGTTCCTGAGGTCCTTCCATGGCTGTTCCCCTGGCCCTCCTCGTGCACGCAGGCGCCCTTGGGGGCAGAAATGGGGTTCGTTCCTCATGTAGCGTTCCTGACTTCAGCAACCCGACTGTGTCCCCCCCGCAGGTGGGCGCAGTCTACGGGTCAGCCCTACCACATTGCAGACGTCTGCGCGCCTGGAAGGGGCGCTGCCTTGATGGCTCCTCCGACGCCCCGGCGCACGTCGGCGGGCCTCCCAGGGTGGCCCCGGGCCGCCTCAAGACGTTTCGGGGCGCCCGAAGATGCCCAAAGAGAGCCTCAGGAGCGCCGCAAGACGGTCCCAGACGCTCCCCAGGCCGCTCCAAGACGCCCAAGGTTGCTGCGAGACGGTCCAAGAGGCCCCGAAGACATTCCAAGGGGGCTCCACCCTAATAATTTGGGGAATTTGCATTTTGGGCATTTTTTGATTTTTTTCGTAGCGCTCGAGACGGCCATAAACGCCTTCAAGATTGCCTCAGCCCCAAGACGTCCCTAGAGGCCCCCAAGAGGGCCCAAAGATGGTCCAAGACGGCCCCAGGACGGCCGAAGAGGCGCCCAAGACTGCTCCAGAGGACCCCAAGAGGGCCCGAAGAGAGGCCTAAGACGGTCCAAGACTGTCCCAAGACGGCCCGCGAGGCGCTCATGAGGAGCCCAGGCGGCCCAAGAGGGTCCCAAAGGCTCCGAAGAGGCCCAAACGAGGACCTAAGAGGCCCTCAACCAGTCTCCCGAGCGGCCCCTAGAGGTGTCAGACTGCCACCAAGAGAGGGGGCCTGGCGTTCCTGACACGCCTCAGAGAGCTTCGCTTTTTAAACAATCATCCGACAAAACAGCCCCCCCAAACCTAGCGGGGGTTCTTGTTGACTTCTGGTTCAAGTTGAAGCCCTCTTGGAGCCGTCCTGAGCTCCCCCCGGAGCGCCCTGCGAGCCTCCCCCGGCGATCCCGGAACCTCTTCTGCGAGCCTGTCGGCCGCCCAATCAGGAGCACCATAGGGGCCTCCAAGGACCACGAACTCAACAAAATCTAACAAGAAGGCTCGTCCGACCCAACAGCGAGCGGCTTCTCTTAACACTAGTCTCTACTACATTGCAGGGCCCAGTGCGTGCCAGAAGGGCGCAGGCCCCAATGCACCGAAACCGCCCCGGGCTGGCCCCGGGCCGCCCAGGGAGGCCCCAAGACACGTCAAGAGGGCCCCCAGAAGCCCCCAAGACGGCCCCGGAGAGCCCCGGCACGCTTAAAGATGGGCCCAAGACGCCCGAGATTCGCCCCAGACGGCCCAAGAGGCGTCCAAGACGCCCGAAGAGGCCTCCCAAGAGGCCTCCCAAGAGGGCCCCGAGCGACAGAAATCGTTGATTTCTATTGTGTTTTTCGATGTTTCCGGCCTCCTCGCCTCTTCGGCTTCCCGACGCTCCAAGACGGCCCAAGAAGTCCCCCCGACCGCTCCAAGACGGCCGAAGAGGACCCCAAGAGAGCCCCAAGACGGGCCAGGAGGGCCCCAAGACGGTCCCAAGACGCCCCAGGACGGCCCCAGGACGGCCCAGGAGGCGCCCAAGACGGCCCAAGAGGCACCCAAGACGGCCCCAGGAGCGGCCCAAGACGGCCCAAGACAGCCCAAGAGGCGCCGAGGCGGGCCTCAGACGGCCCCAAGACGGCCCAAGAGGCACCCAAGACGGCCCGAGAGGGCCCTAAGAGCCCCCCCGGGAGGCCCAAAAGAAGGCCGAAGAGGCTCCGAAACGGCCCCCACGAAGCCTTCAGTGGCTTCAGAATTCCCTCCAGGAGCGGGGGAGCGGACGAGAGGCGACAGGCATATCGCAGGCAAAAACGCCCCAAGAGATCCCCAAACGGCCCCCACGAAGCCCTAAGTGGCCTCAGAATTGCTTCCAGGAGGGGGGGAGCGGACGAGAGGCGACCGGCATATCGAAGGCACAAAAGAACAATGTTGGACGCTCCGAGGGCCTTCGATGTTTCTCTGTTGGGGAGAGTCGTCGTAGGATCGCCGATTGCCGACCGAGGGCATGGAGAATCCAGCGAAAGAGGAGAAGAAGGTGCAAGAGGAGGAGGATGCGGAGGAGGAGGAGGAGGAGGAGGAGGAGGAGGAGGAGGAGGAGGGGGAGGAAGCCAAGCTGGAGCCCGACGCCATCATGATTGCCTTTCGGCCCTGCAGCCGCACCCCCCCGCGCTTGCCCAGAGACCCCTCGCCACGTCGAGCTGATGTCGTGGACGGAGTCCGCAGGTCTGCCCTAGTCAGCTACAGCGCTGGGATCAGCGCGTGTGAGAAGGGTAAGCAGTGGCAGTGGGCTCTGGCGCTACTCAGCGAGATGCGGGAGGCGAAGCTGGAGCCCAGCGTCATCTTACCTACAATGCCTGGCATTGCGCGTGCCAGAAGGGTCCATGAATTCTCCCCCCCCCCTTCGTGGCGCCTCCGCGGCTCCGCTCGCGGGGCCTCGACGTTCTGTCCTGCCCAGACGATCCAGGACCACCAAGCAGGTGGTTCGTAACCTTCAAGATGGAGGCCGCTCCTTACGACCGTAAGATCGGCTTCGGGCCTTCCGAGATAACGGTCGCAAAAACGACCTCTAAGTTGGCGGCTCAAAAGTGCCATCTGGCGGCATTTCCGAAATGGCGGCTCGAAAGGGCGCCATTTGACGGCGCTTCCCACATGGCGGCTCTGAAACGTGAGTTGGTCGAAATTTCAGAGTACAAATAGCAAGATTCAAGGGGTTCCGATGTGGCGCATGAGTCCTCCCCGAGGAGCGGGGCAAATCCAGTCTGGCTCTTCATCCTAATTGGATTTCTTGCGCTTCAGCCCCACGCAACAAGCTGTGCCCCATGCGCACAAGAGCATTAGGGAAATTTCCAGAATGACGGTCGTCAGTTGGGCCTTCCAGGTGTAGGTTCAACATGTCAACATGACGGAACATCCAAAGTGGTATATCGAAAACAAAGTCGTGACGCAGCCTTCACATTGGTGCCACGCCAATTTCCAGTTTGGGAGTTCCTTCCGGTTGGTGGTTGGCCGCGGGAATTCATCCTCCTCGAAGAGCGACGGAGTGGCATGCTGTCAAGTCAGCTTCCCCTACTCCTTTTCATGTTCCCCCCCCTCATCTCTCTCTCTCTCTCTCCAACAGTTTGTACGCGCTTCGCGCTTCCTGGCGATCGATGTTAAGCAAGCTGGTCAGTTGAGTTTGAGCGCAGCCTGCGCGGCACTGTGATTGAGCGAACGTGCGACCAACATCGCATTTGCATGCTGGATCGGAGGTCGGGGTGTGAGATCGCAGTGGAGAGGAGAGCCCCCCACCAGGAAACCGGTTTCGTTTTCGCGTTCGCGTCGCGCGCGCGCTCGGGCGAGGCGAAGCTGTGTGGGGGCGCGAGAGGATTGACCCCGCCGTCGCTAGGGCGATTCGGATGCAGTGGGCCGCCCCTCCGCCCCCAGTGGGCACGCGGTGGCCCAGGGTGTCCCGCTGTGTTGTCTCATGGCGTCCCCGTTGGTGTCCCGTCGGTGTCCCGTCGGCGGTGGGCGGGCGGTGCCCGGGGGTGGCCCGCCGTGGTATCGATGGTGAAGTCGATAGCGAAATCGATGATAAGATCGCTCGAATGGGATGGGTAGCGAGATCCAAAGTGAAGTCGACAGGGAGGTCGATGTGTAATATTGGTTGTGAGATCGATCGTGAGATCGATATTGAGATCGATATTGAGATCGATCGAGGAAGCGATAGTGAGCTCGCTTGCGGGATCGATCGTGGGACCGATCGTCGAACTCATTGGTAGTATGACTGGCCGCGAGGTCAATAGTGGGAGCGACCGAGTGGGATCGAAAGCGGGGACGATATTGACATTACATCGCAGCGCAACGTCGTCATCCCGCGTCCCCGCTCGCTCGAAGGCGCGTCGCCAGCATCGCCTACCATCCCTTCCTCCCTTGTAACCCTCGTCCATGCATTCGTCCCCGTGCAACCACCTTCCTCCCCCTTTGCTCCTTCATCTTCCATCCGCTCTGGGGGTCGCTTGTTTCTTACCCCCATTAAGCATGGAAAGCGAGGAGCGAGAGTGGGAATGCCGGCGTCCCCGGAAAAAAACACGCTCACTTGTTAGCCCGATGTTGTCTGTGATTATGCAATGAACGCGCTATTGCGATACATCATTTTTGCAGCAAACGCTGATGCCAGATTCGGGGGAGCGGCGCCGTTGTCGTTTTCGCGGGGCGTCGATTTGCGTTGCTTCTGCCCGACAAGGAAAAGCACCAACCAGAGAGAGGGATAATGAAGGAGGGATGCAAAGGGGGGAGGTAGGCAAAAAGAGAAGGGAAGAGGAGAGGACGGAGGAGGGAGGAAGATATAAAGGAGGAGGAGGAAGTTTGAGGGAAGAGGGGGAGAAACATAATATGTACATGATAGAGCAAGAACAACGAAATCTACGCATATGGCTCCAGCATCATCGCGCGCGCGATAATCGGAGGTTGGGGGGTGGGGTCGCAGTGGAGCCGAAACCCCCCCACCGGGAAACCTGTTTCGGCTTCGTGTTCGTGCAGTGCGTGTGGAAGAGGGAAAGCTGTCAGATCCAGCTGCGACCACCCTGAACGCTGTTTCTGCGACCCCTCCCGCGCCGAGCGTGTCCCAAGAGGTGTAGGGCGCGGTGTTTGCCAATCATCATGGGCCTCCTCCTTCTGCTCCCCGTCATCGCTCTTTTCTGTCACAGGCGATCCTGCCCGCGGAGTCGGAACCGCACGATATCCTGGAGGGGGAAGACGAGGAGGAGGAGGAGCAGGAGGAGGAGAAGGAGGAGGAGGAGGAGAAGAAGGAGGAGGAGAATGAGGAGGAGGAGGAGCAGCAGCAGCAGGAACCGAAAGACGAGGACAGACCAAGCACGACGACGAAGAGAAGGAGGATAAGGAGGAGGAGGAGGAAGCGGAGGAAAACAAGGCGGAGAACAAGGACGAGACAAGCACGGGGAGGAAGAAAGGGCGGAGGAGAAAAAGGAGCCGCTGTTGCTACTGCCCATGCCCCTGGATCTGCTGCCGCTGATACTGCTAGCGCTGCTCTGGGCGCAGTCCCAGTCATCAAGCAGACAGTGCACCCTGAAGCAATGAGCAGCAGCAGTCGCACTCTGACCACTGGAACTCGTGGACGGCAGACCACGGATCAGCCCTAGAGCTCTCCTACAATGCCAGAGCCCGTGCGTGCCAGACGGGTGGTATGGACGAAATATCCCAAATCGGCCCTGGGCGCCCTGCCAGGCTGCCCTGGGGAGCACCGGGCGGCCCCAGAAGGCCTCCGAGAGCCCTCAGACGGCCAATCTCTCCTACAAGACGCGCCCAGAGCGCTCGACAACGCCTCAGACGGCATCCAGAAGGCCCAAGAGGCTTCCAAAGCGCTCCAAGTGGGCTCCACGATGAGCCCCAAGAGAGCCCGAACACTGACAACTCACCCAATTCCTTTCTGTGGAAAAACGTGCATTTTCGCAGTTCCCGGTCTTGCCCTCTTCATAGCGTCCAAGACGGACATGCAGGGTCCCAAGGTGGCCCCAGGACGGCTCCTGAGGCGCCCCCGGCGGCCCACGGGGTACCCAAGACAGCCTCAAGAGCGGCCCAGGACGGCCCAAGACCACCTCAGACGGTCCCCAGGCTGCTCCATAGACGCCCAAGACGGCCCCAGACAACTCCCACACGGCCCCAGACGGCTTCCACACGGCCCAAGAGGCACCCGAAACAGCCCAAGAGGGCCCCCGTAGGCTTCCAGGAGGCCGAAAAGAAGCGCTGAGAGGCTCCTCAACGAGCCCCAGAGGCCCACAGATCACGGCCCGAGGCCTGAGACGGCCCGAAGACGGTTCTAAAATCGCTCCAAGCGCACCATGGGGCTCCTTTGACGCTTGTTTGGCGCTCCCTGCTGGATTTGGCCCAAAATCCCTCGCCCTTTTCGTCGGTCTGGAGCCTTCTCCGCGGCCTCGACCCTCAGACAGTGCCCAGACTGCCCGGCGGCCCAGACTCGGCAAGGGCCGCCCCGGAGGCGCCCGCGCCGTCACGGGACGCGCCGGGCGGGATTCTGGGCCGACGGCGCGGCGGCCCAGAATCGGCCCGCCGATTCTGGACCAGAGTCGCCCCGGCCGACCCCCAGGGCGCGCGCCGGACGGGATTTTGGGCCGGCGCGGTGGCCCAGAATCGGTCCCGCCGATTCTGGGCTGGCAGGCTGGTGGCCCCCAAACGAGTAGTGCCCGACCCGGAGGCGCGAGCACTGGCCCAGGGCGCGCTGGGCGGGATTCTGGGCTGGCGGCGCGGCGGCCCAGGATTGGCCCTGGGCTTGCGGGCCTGCGGCCCAGAATCGTCTTGCCTGCCTGCGGCAGGCAAACATGACGCCAGTCATCCTGATCGCCTTGCGGCAGCACGCTTTCACCCCGAAAGTGGACGTAGTCCACGGGTCAGCCCTGGTCAGCTACAACGCTGGGATCAGCGCGTGCGAGAAGGGCGATCAATGGCAGCGGGCTTTGGTGCTGTTTAGCGAGATGCGGGAGGCGAAGCTGCAGCCCACCGTCAGTCCTACCACATTGCAGACGTGTGTGCGTCTGGCTTGATGGATCCTCTGACGCCCCAGCGGGCCCAGGCGGGCCTCCCAGGGCGGCCCTGGGTCGCCTCAAGACGTTTCAAGGCGCCCCAAGACGCCCAAAGAGAGCCTCAGGAGCGCCGCAAGACGGTCCCAGACGCTCCCCAGGCCGCTCCAGGACGCCCAAGGTAGCTGAAGCCAAAGTCGCCCCCTAACCTTTGAACACGAATTGACAAGTTTAGCAGTTTCGCTTTTTCGCTTTCGCAGCGTATGAGACGGTCCTAAACGCCTTCAAGATTGCCCCAAGAAGGCCAAGAGGGCCCCACGACGGCCCAAGACGGCCCCATGACAGCCGAAGAGGCGTCCAAGACGGCCCCAGAGGACCCCAAAAGAGCTCGAATTGAGGCCCAAGATGGTCAAAGACGGTCCCAAGACGGCCCGAGAGGCGCCCAAGACGACCTCAAGACGGCTCAAGAGGAGCCCAGGCACTCCAAGAGGATCCCAAAAGGCTCCGAGAAGCCTTCAACCAGCCCCCCCGAGAGGCCCAAGAGGTTTAAAAGTTGTGACCAAAAGAGGGGGCCCAGCGCTCCTGACACGCCCAGACAGCTTCGCCTTTCTGCAGAAATCCAACAAAACAGCCCTCCTCCACCTAGCGGGGTTCCTTGTTGAATTCTGGGTCAATGTGGAGCCCAGGAGGGCTCCCCCGGGACGCCCTGCGAGCCTCCCCGGCGATCCCGCAGCCATCCTGCGAGCCTCTCGGCCGCTCCATCTGGAGCCCCATCTGGAGCCCCCGGGAGTTTCCAACTCAAGAAAGCTCTGACAAGACGGCACTTTCGACCCA